CTAGTTTATTCAATTGGTTTTACTTTTGGTTCTATTCTTATGTTTTCTGGAACTCATCGTACACTGACCATAAGTGAGATTCTTATTGTAAGTGACGTATAGCGTGAATATGCAAGAAAGTAACTGAAAAATGAACTTTCGTTTAGGTTGTAAATATGTTTGCACAAGCTTTAAGTCTTCTTAATGCAATTGGTCCCTTCTTTCAATCAATTGCGGAAGCTCAAGGTGCAGCAGTATCCGTATTTCGACTTATTGATGAGGTAAAATCGATTGAATACTAGATACTAAACCATGGTAATTATATTTTCTATTTTATTTCTTGTGATATAGGTCCATGATGAAAATATCAACGAAAGAGAAATATTGCAAGAGAATACATCTAATGAAAAATCTGTTTCTACTATCAATGGTGATATTGAATTTGACAATGTTAGTTTTTATTATCCATCGAGAGAAAATGTAATAGCTTTAAATAATCTTAAATTGATTGTCCGTGCTAATCAAACAACTGCTCTTGTTGGTTCAAGTGGTTGTGGTAAATCTTTTTTCTAAAACAAATATAAAATTTTAATATTGAAATTTATTGATAGGAAAAAGTACATGTGTATCACTTCTTCTTCGCTACTATGAACCTTCCTCAGGCAGAATCATGATTGATGGTCAATCAATTACAGACTATAAAATCAAACAATTTCGTCAAAATATTGGAGTCGTTAGTCAAGAACCTGTAATTTCTTTTATTTTTGTTTTAGTCTCTGTCGAATTTTTATACTAAAATAGATTCTATTTGGAACAAGTATTTATGAAAATATTCGTTTTGGTAAATTGAATGCAACACGTGCAGAGATTGAAAAAGCTGCAGAACAAGCTAATGCACATAAATTCATTATGAAATTACCAAATGTTTGTTTTGAAATATTTATATTTATTTATATTAATATTTTTGTTTCCAGAAATATGACACACTTGTTGGTGAACGTGGTATACAATTGAGTGGTGGTGAAAAACAACGTATTGCATTAGCTCGTGCACTTGTCAAACAACCCAGTATTCTTTTGTTAGATGAAGCAACAAGTGCTCTTGATAATGTTAGTGAAAAAATAGTTCAAGAAGCACTTGATCGAGCATGCGAAAGTAAGAAGTATTTAATTATTATTGATTATATTATTATCATTATTATATATATAGATAGTACAACTATAGTTATCGCTCATCGTTTGACTACGATTCAAAATGCTGATTATATATATGTATTAGATGAAGGAGGTGTAGTTGAAGAAGGTACACATGAAACATTATTGGCAAAAGAAGGAGGGAAATATCAAACAATGGTCAAAATGCAACAAGCTGAAAAAACGATTAATACACAAGATGGCTTAATGAATATGGCAAAAGCAACAGCTGAAGATGAAGAACAAATATGTATGTTATCACTATTAGATTTTATAGACTTCATTCTGTTTTATTTTTTGAAATAGTGGAACGTGTTCGTCTATTGAATGAGAGCGAAGCAACTGATATCAATCAAGTAATAATAAATATCTAATAACTTTGAAAAATCATTATTAACGTATAAACTTTAGAGAGCTTCGATCTCAATAAGAAAAAAATCTGTCTTTCTAAGACTCATGAAGATGAATAGTCCTGAATGGATGTTTATCTTGATTGGTTGTTTAGCATGCATACTTGGTGGACTACGTGGACCATTGTTCTCTATTCTATTCGCAAAAATAGTCAATGTGAGTAATTTTACTCATATGAATATTATCACAAAAAATAAAAGATGTGTCTTTTTCTTTTATTTAGGAATTCAATGATTGTAAATACACTGATGTACGTCGTCGAGTGTTAATTACATGTGGTTTATTTATTCTTACCGGCGCTGTTTTTATGATTCTTTATTTTTTTCATGTAACAATTTTATTACTAAACTATATATATCAATGTGTTTTTTTATGTTCGTTTATAGTTTGTGACTTTTGGGATCGCAGGAGCGAAATTAGTTAGTCGTCTTCGTTCAAAAGCTTTCGCATGTTTTCTTCGTCAAGAAGTAGCTTATTTTGATCGATCTGAAAACAGTTCCGGTTCTATATGTACTCACCTCGCGTCTAATGCAGCTGCTATTCAAGACATGGTTGGTACAAGATTGGGTGTTGTTTGTCAAGCTTTATCCATGTGTACTTTTGGCTGCACACTTGGCTTTTTTTACAACTGGCAATTAACAATAATCATAGCTATTCCTTTCGTTACCCTACTGATCGTCAGTATTATTCAAATACGGTTGAGTTCATGGTTAAAAACACAATCTAATCTCATTTACTCTCAAGCTAGCACGGTAAAACCTTCTTGTTATTCTAGATGATTTGATCAAATGATTATTAAATATTCATTTTATATTTTGTCTTCTTTAGCTTACTGTTGAAGTTATTACTAATATGCGCACAGTAAAACAATTATCAATGGAAAATGAAGTTTTACGACAATATTCGAATATGATTGATGAAGTATTAATGTTAGTCTTGTGAATATTATGCATGTATATATATATATATTTGATAACAAAACTACGAGTGCTTTTAATAATCTTGATTAATTTTGTCAAAAATATGTTCTTCTATATCGACAGATATTAACTTCAATTTTCAATAAATTTTCTTTTGTATAGAATGTTTTGGAAACCTGAGGTACTATTTGCAATAATATATGGATTGAACTGGATGATGGAACTGTTGACTTTGGGACTTTTGTATTGGCGTGCTTTGGTTCTTCTTGAAACCAATGAAATGGACATGAGCGATGTTGTTATGTAACTAAAACAATAATTTGATAAACAATAAATTAAGTTTTATTATCTTGCTTTATTTTTATAGGATTTCTGCTTTTGGAATGTTTGCATTAAAATCACTAAATCTTGTTGGAATGTTGTAAGATATAGAATTTTTTGTTTTTTTTGGTTTTGTTATTTTCTTTTTAGAGCACAACGTATTGGTGCATCATTTGCTGCTGCTCACGCTTTTTTTGATCTATTTGATCGAATACCAACTATTGATAATGGATCGAATAAAGGACACGAATTAGTAAAAGAAAAACGAAAAACTATTGTTCATTTTAAACTTGAATTATTTAGACTAACTTTAGTGGAGAAACAGAATTTAATCAAGTTAAATTTATTTATCCAAGTCGTCCAACAGTTCTTGTTCTTAATAAACTTCAATTATCTATTAAATCAGGTCAACGTATAGCTCTTGTTGGTATGTTTTGTAAATAATGTTTTCTAATTTATTGATCATATAATATAATCGATTTAGGTGCATCGGGATGTGGAAAATCAACCATAGTTCAATTATTAGAACGATTTTATGATGTTACACACGGACAATTGGTAAGTATCTATTATCTATATATAATTCAAGTATTTATATAAGTGATATTCATATAAATAAGCTTCTTGATGGTGTTGATATTCGACAATTGAATATTCAATGGCTTCGTTCTCGTTTGGGTGTTGTTAGTCAAGAACCAGTTTTATTTGATTTAACAATTGCTGAAAATATAACATATGGATTAGAAAATATACCAATGGATGAGATTATTCTTGCTGCAAGAAAAGCTAATATCCATCAATTTATCCAACAACTACCTCAAGTTAGATAAATATTAAATTATATTGATTATTTAATATATATTGTTGTAGGGTTATGATACAAAAGTTGGAGTAAAATGTAGTTTTTTATCAGGTGGTGAAAAACAACGTATTGCTATTGCTCGAGTTCTTATTCGTCGACCTAAAATATTATTATTAGATGAAGCTACAAGTGCTATGGATCCATACAATGAATACGTAAGTTTATTTTCTTTTATATATATGGTTAAAATGGGTAACTTAACATTTTTAATTGAAGATAGTACAAACAACTCTTGAACAAGCTCAAATTGAAGATCCTAATCGAACATCAATTATTATTGCACATCGTCTTTCAACAATACGTTCATGTGATCTGATACATGTACTTGAAATGGGTCGTATAGTCGAAAGTGGTACTCATACAGAATTAATACAAAAAGGTGGAATTTATTATAAAATGTTAAATGCTCAAAACAATGTACAATAATTATTATTCAACTACTTCATTAACAAAAAAATAAATACTTTTACATATATAACCATACAAGTGTTTTTTTTTGTAATATATATGAAATTAACTTTGAATTCAATTATATGTAACTTTATAGAGAAATTGATTACAGTTAAACCATTGATTAGTCTTTTATTATTATCTTGCCATAAAAAAATAATACATATGCTTCACATAATCTCTTTGATCTGATCTGTAGTGTATCCTAATTTCTAGTCAAAATATTTATCAATATATCTGATTTGTTAGAAGAATATTGATCATTATTATTAACAATAGGATTTTTAGACATGGGAAAAAGTTTAAAAAATATAACACAAATTGTTTGGAATGATTGAGAAATGTATATTAATGTTGCTAAATATAGTTCATCAGGTAATTATACAAATGTTTTTCATACTAAATGTTAACTAATCCAATAAATCATTTATATTTGTTTTTCTGTCTACCTTTAACTTCGCGCATTAAAAATATCTGTCAATCCTACAGTACTAATCATTTAGCGATCAATTTGCATTAGTAATGCACAGCTATAAATCTAAAATATACCTATGTTGATGTAGAAAAATAACAATGATTTCATATTTTGTATTCTACTAGCCTCAGATTGTCAATTTTTCTAAAATATAGAATTTATAGGTATTACTTCCGTTCAAAAATTTAGTTTTATTAACATCTTGAGGTTTGTGGTACTCGATTACATTGAATCTGAATAATGTTTCTCTAGCTTAAAAGTTGTTTAATATTTCTTGTCACTGGATTATTTCTGCCGTTCAAAAGAATACTACTATGCATAATTGCTAATGAAATAATTTCTTGAAAAATTTAATGAATTCAAGAGCAAAAGGAGAAAAGTAGTGTAAATTATGTTTTTGTTGAATCATATAACGATCGAGCATCTTCACCAAAATAGGGTCCATGCATTGTATTTGTTTGTCCGCTAAGTAGAAACGAGTTAATCGATGTAACATAACCCGTACCACTTTGTATGTTGAATACCTGCAGCCATGGTCCACCACTACTTCCACCCGTCATATCACAATACAATTGTTGACCATGATATCCACTACCTGCCTGGTGCCCACCACTAAGTGCATGACAATATTGCATCACTTCACCTCCGTCTAAATTCAATGGATAACCGAATGAAAATATAAGTTCATTACGACCGAAATTGAACCCAATGCCTTGGGCACCAACAACATCTTGAACATGCCGACCGTTGACCTATGTATTAAAACAAAAAATAACAAATGCATATCGATCATTTATTTATTCTCGAAGATTAAACATAGAAGAAAACTGTTTTATTGATTCACTCAAGTTTGTTCAGAAAAAAAAACTACGATAGAGAGATCACGTCTTTTTATTATTCTGACATATGTTTCAATCAAAATATGCTACATCTTCGAATTCAGTATATGAAAGATCCCTGACTGCAAATATTCGTCTTTATCTTCATATTACATCGATTGTTTTATTTTTATTTTTTTTATTCTGACTAACCTGAAATACTAATACGTAACCAATATCGTAATTCCAATCGTTTGAGTTTGTCCATCCATTGAATGTTGTCATCGATCGGACGGGAAATGTGCCATAAGGCCGTTGACCATGTATATAGCCAGGCACAAACACCCAATTATGATTAACCAAAAAACCGCCTTGACTTGGATCAAAGATGCAATGCGCAGCAGTAACTAACAGATCTCTGTTATCCGAAACAATAACACTAGCCGAACACATCCCATAATGATTGTTACCTAAATTCCAAAAAACTTTACCAGTAGTTGGACGACCATATCCACCAGCTGGTGCTTTCAAGTTCCAGTCAGAAGCACCAAGAACTGGATTGACAGCAAAAGCAGGAGTATTCTTATCAAAATGGGAGTCATCCAATTTTTGACGTCTAATCTCGCTGCTGTTAAATATGTTTGGATACAGTTCCCATGGCGATTTAGCTTGATGAAATTTTTCTTCTGTCCAAAAATCGATTACTGATTGAACGTATTCATCCGTGGTCATGTGTTTTGGTTGAATAACATGAGCACTAGCATATTTTCCTTGGGCATCTGCAACTGGTAGTGCCTGACATGAAGCAACAAGAAGAACAAAACTAAGAACAAGTAGGACCATTGTACTGCTCTCTGTAAATAGTGTAATTTACTGGCTAGATGTCTTTTTAACTGGCTTTTATAGTTTCTAATATATCATAAAGTTTTTTAATCACGTACTTTTATCTTTTCTTGATGATTTATGATTATGTATGAATTAACTGCTATTTGCCTAGTTGTTTCTTCTATTTTTAATAATCGTAAATGTACTATTGCGTTGTATTAAAAAACAGTGCAAAAATCTCGAATTCTTTCCAAGAACAATTTTTATAGAAAAATGGACTCAGATATGAGATACACTCGTGGACAAAAGTCTTTCCACCCTCTTTATTTCTATGCTATCATACTTCGTATAAAATTTATTGTTGAGTAGAGATATGACTTAAGAGTTTTATTGTATTTTGATCTGCATACCGTACTGAAATAAAACTCTCAAGTCATATGTCTACTCGGCAATAAATTTTATACAAAAGTATGATAGCAAAGAAACGAAGAGGAGAAAGACTTTTGTGCGAGGGTGTCGTTTCGGAGAGTATGTATGAGATATCCAACAAAAACTATCTTCTTAAAGTGAACCTAACAACAAATAATTAAATAACCCCTGTTTGCTCTCTTTTGTTACGAAGTCTACTAGAAATGTATGCGGCATCTTAGTTCTTTATGGCCAGAAACATGAGTGACAAAGAAGGCTCTTGACAAGTTTCAGTCACAGAAAATTTTGATGATATGATAATAGAAATAGAATGAAAAATGATCCTAATGGATGTCGAGTTCAAAATTAAAATAGAAAAATTTCTGAAGTGAAGTAACAATATCAAAAAAGAAGTAAGAAACGGTTTGCTCTGTTCTGTTTCAATTCTTTGGCGATTTTTTAAAACCCATTTGTAACTATTTTGTTTATATTTTTCAATAGATAGCTTTGAAAAGACCAGTAAAGTGAACTATGTGTAGTTCTCTTTCTGTTTGTTTTTCTTTCGTTCACTAACACAGATCTTTTCATCACTCGTTTATTAAAAATCAAAATTTTCAGGAGAAAATTTCCTGGTTTTTTCTTGATTTTGCAAGAAAAATCTCATGATCAACTTCTGTTTTTTAACGAAAAAAACCCTGATTTCTAAAATCTCGATTTGGCAACCCTGCTACCTGCATCCTAGTGCACTGCGTGATTGATATTTTTGGTCACGATCATTTACGAATATGATCACGAATGTTATATAGTAAATAGATACATCAAAAAATTTCACCAATCGATATCACTTTTTTTATTTGCATTCACAAAAATACTTTAAGGATTTAGAGCGACTTATAGATGAAAATCCCGTATCGCTTTCATTTAGGAAACCGAATAAATCATCAAAAATCTCGAAATGTTAGTCTAAATTTAGTCAAATCTATATTGCTGGTATCAAACACGATTTTATTATTTATGATTGTTGTAAATTGATATTAGTTTATAAACCAACAACAGAATCCGGTTGTATGATAACTCACTTACAGTCTTGTTAAACTAAAGAAAAAAAGTCTGATCCATTATTATCACAGTTTATCATCAAATAATACCAGCAGAATGCCCAAACGAGTGAAAGAAGCAGTTACACTCGCTCACACTCTGAAAAACAACAACAACAAAAAATTTCTTCTCTTTTTCATTTTCGTTTATTCTATTGTTTGTTACAAACGAAATAATTGTTTTTTATTATCCAAGTCTGGTTACAAAAGTTACAATAATTATCAATTCACAATAAAGGAAAATAAATGTAATAGTCTTTCGAACCGGCAATTCTTCTTTCAATAATTAACTGTGTTACATTAGCACAATGACGTCGTGTTATTTCTCGTGTAAAATCATTTGTAATAATTCTTAATTCTTCATATCTAACCTTTAATTTCGATAGACGAGGTAGATGTGCTTTGGTTTCATTTAGAAACTGATCGAGGTAATAACCATTTGTCCAAAACATATCAAGGAAAGTAAGATGAGGATATTCAACGAGTTCATATGACTGAATAGTGTTGTCAGATAATTCCTTCACATCATATGAATGTGGTGTAATATTCATTACACGAATGCTTTTAAGCTTTGGAAAAGCTTTACTTATTCGTAGAAAGAATTCATGTTCAAATGGAACCTCATCACATACACATAAGTCGACGACATAAGCAAATACAATATTTGGAAATATGTTTCCAATATATTCGAGCTGGAGAAACTGGAAAGGAAGTGTAAAGACATGATATGTAGCTGTGGGACCAAAAAATTGAGCAATATTCGATACTTCTTGATGTCCTATGTTCACATAATTTTGTTTAATATCATTATTGGACAAATAACGAACTAAATTATTTCTGGTATTCTTTGTACTAAGATAAAACTTGAATGAATGAAGTCGTGACATATGCATTGAAAATTCATTGATGAGATAAATTGGATCAATGAATATACGTTCCAAAACGAGACGCAAATACAAAGTTAATTTTTCCAAGTTTATCATACGACGAAGATGAGATACAATTTTACCGTCATATTCTTGAATCAAACCATTATTTATTAATGAAAAACACTTTAGATTAGGTAGATCATCCTATAGAATAAAAAACAATATTATTACAAAATTTCTTTTATAATATTAAACTAATCATTTATATGAACTGAAATCATGAAAACTATGTGCTACAGTTTAATTTTCTGTAGAACGATAGTTAATTCTACTCAATAATCTATAATAATTGGAATATTGCATTAATCAATGAATTTAGGAAAAGATGAATTCTATTTTCGTTACATTCATCTAATTTCAAACGAAATATGATTGGTTATATCATAAGATATATATTTAAAGAAGTAACAATTAACAATCGGTAACTTCTACATTTGTATAAAATTATTAAGATGATCGCAATTTAAAAGTCAAACAAACATTTCCTTTTCAGTTTCTTCATACATGTTTTAGTACAGCAGGAGTAGATGATCATAAAAATCTTTCTTTAACTTCCAAAAAGACAAAAAACCATTAAGATGAACATAATTCTTGATCAATAGGCCATATACCCGAATCCTTTTAGCCTAATTAAGTTCTACTCATAACCAAAATCTGGGCTTGAACGACGTTTGACTCTTAGATATGTTCTCTTGTTAGCTTTTAATGCTCTATACGAAAAAGAAGTTTAACTAGCTGAAAAAATAGTAAAATACAAATTTTCATCGATTTTTTGGACTTGAAGAAACTCTTCCACGATCATCTGCTTGCGATCTATCGAAACATGTACAAAAAAGTTGAAAAAATATTTGTTCGTATTTTAAGTTGCGGGAACCCTGCTATATTTAGATTATTACAATAAGATTGAAAAAATCATCTGTTTCATTACATTAATCAATACTTAACGATTGTGATTCTTCTAAATGATGACTGGTTCTCGGACAAGTTGAAAGAATATGCAAGAACTTTTACATATCTTTTTATACTTCTCAATGTTAGAAAATATCTCGTTCGCTTCTAAACTAATTTCGGAGTGAGATGTTATTCGTTTGAGAAGGTCAGAATGATAAAACATACTTACTAAATTATTAACAACTGATGAATCTGTATCCATTTCATAAAATAGAACAATCAATGTACTCAACTGTTTGAGACGACCATCAAGTAAAGAAACAATATCTGCAAAATTTTGCACATTAATACATAAATAAGTAAGAGTTGAAGAAGAACAAGTATTTGATGGTAAATAACGAATTGACAAGCTTGGATATCCAAAATCTGGTAATGCAGTAACATTTAGATGCTCTAACTTTTTGCAGTAAGTCAAAATATGTGCGAACACTGTTTTTGTATAAACTTTCGATGATAATGTCCCATGCCCATCACCTTTATGAATAAGATCAAGTTTTGTAATTTTTTCTTTAAGAATATGTTCAAGCGATGAATTATCTATATCAAAAGATAATTATAAATGGCATGGTATAATCTATTTATATTGTAATCTTTCGATTGAAGAAATTATAGAATATATGATTACCTGTGAAATAATGTAATGAAGTAACACTTTGAAAATTAAAAAGTTTTAATTCAGTTAGATTTGGATAAGGAGTAGCAAGAAGAATACGTTCCATGAATTCTGGTTCAATAATGAAACATTTGACATTGAAATAAATTTGAGGTAATATATAATCACAAAATCGATCAAGTATTGAATCAGTTATTGTACTATTTTCAGTAGTTGATGTTATATTGAGACTATTAGAAGAAAACTTATCTTCTATTATATTCTCAAATCGTTCATTATTAATGCCGAAAAATGAATAAAGAACATTCACATTGTCGAGTTTCTTTAAAATATAAAATAATATTTCATTAGGTAAATCAAGAAGTTGAACATTAGACAAATTCATTTTTAGTATTGATTATAACACTTTTATCAATATATATTCAGATAAATATTCTTTGTTTATACTTGTAATCATTGACATCAATAACGGGTAAAATGAATGAATGTATTTAAAGAAAGGCTATATTAATGGATCATCCAATGAATTTGATTTCTTTTGTTTTTCTGCACAAATTCTCATCTATATATTGCCTTTGCATTGTCTTCATTGATGCAGACGTCGGGAAAAAACGTTATATGTTCAGAAGAGAGAAGAATTACATATGTTGACAATTGAAAACTGACCAGTGGCATTGTCAGACTTGGGTCATTGGGCAATTACCTTAAGGTAAAAATTTTTAATATGTGTTCGAAGACTTATGTGATGTTATTTTAATAAATCGTCTCCTATCATTATCGAACCAACTGATCAAAAAAGTGACGATTTCTCCTTAATAAGCATCGGTTTTTTGTGACAGAAAAGATTAAAAAAATCTGAAGCCTAATAGATTTTTAATTGCTCAATATTGACCATTCCTCAAAAAGAAGTTACCAGAAAACGGCCCATGACTCGAAAATTCCTCGCTACACCACTGAAACCGACGAAAGTTTTATATTTCGATGGTAGAGAAAATTAACTCTTATTGATATTTGGCATGTTTCAATCTGATATATCTATACCTTCAAGAACAAAATAAGCATTTTAGTATATTCATCGACAAAATAATGGATGAAGTGTATATCTTGAGGGTGTGGATGTGGATAATTAGTTCATTACTAATAAAAACCCTCACATAGCCCACCCCCATCCTCATAGATGATCGCATCATACTTATTACAAAAAACGACATAGTCGAATATATCATGAGACTGACAAGAGACCTGATAAATATATTTTTCAATCAGTATAAGTTATAACGATTGTTCGGTTTAGAGTAGAAGAAAAGAATAAAACGATAAAATATGTTTTATCTCAAGCAAATAGAAGATTTGTTTTTCGTTTATTCATCTCAAATAAATATTTTGTGTTGGTTTATGAAAATATATTTGTTTCATTCTTCGAAAAACATGTCTGAGAGTCTACAAGCATCTGACTGTGAAGACCATTGGCAAGAAAAGGAAATTATCTTTGAAAGAGTGAGTTTGAAGTGAAGAAACTTACGTATTATTGTTCTCTATTTTTACTCTTACAGTCTAATGTCAACGACATTATTTCACTTGGCTTTACGATTGCTGGCGGTAATGATCGGCCTATCGTGAATAACTTCATATCTATTGTTGTAAGTCGTATAATTGAAAATGGCCTAGCAGATAGAGATAAACAGTTGAGGTGAGTGAATGTTTGGATGTCAGAGAACGATAATGAGTTTTTTTCTCCCAGATTATACGATATAATCTTACGTGTAAATGATATTGATTATTCTAATATTACACATCAGACAGCTGCTGAGATATTGAAAACTTCAGGAAAGAAAGTTTCATTGGTACGTACTGCTTTAAATATTTTTATTTTTATTTATAATATCTGCTTTTTACTTATAACATACAGCGAATTCGTCGTCTCACATCTCGATTTATGAAGATTGTTGAATTAGAACATCAAAGTGGAAAACTAGGGATCTTGATAGTAGGTGGTATTGGAAGTGAATATTTCAAAGGGTTTGTTAACAATTTCTTATATCCTCAATTCATGAATATCTTTCAGAGATCATGGCGTGTTTATTACGTATATTCCCAATCAAACTATTAAACAGTTAAATATTGGTGATCGATTAATAGAAATCTCATCTGCAGTGAGATTTGTAATAAGTCTTTTCCTTCTATTGTACGTTTTCTTTGAACAACTTTTAGAAAAACACGTACGATCTACGATTTGTTACACATAATGAAGCTAAAAAACGTATTGGATTAGCATGTTCAGATAGTCAGAAGGTAAAATTGACTGTTAGTAGTTATACGAGAAAACTGACAAGGTAAATTGATCAAAAAAAGCTAAATATGTAAATTTAACGAGCAATCTTTTTAGAGTCACTCATAAACAAAGCATTCTGCATCCAGAACAATGTAATCCTCGAATTACAAAAGACAAAAGTAAACATTGAAAGTTTTGATTTATTTTCCTCGAGTATTTAATTTCATCTGGTAGGTACTAAAGATAAACGAATGATTTCACATCAAGATCAACATAGGTACAGAAATGAAGAAAGTAATAATGTGTGCTGTGAAAGTAAAAAAATAACGTAATCTCTTATTTGTTTTTGTCTATAAAGCATCTCTTCCAAGCAACGAAGATGGCTATAGAATTATTACTGATAGAAAATATCATAACAGAAATTCTGAACCAACCAGATCAATAGTATCACCACACAAAATAATAGAATCATTTGATTTCGAAGGTAAGCTATAAATTTTTGAATTTGAAACTAAATATAAAGCTTCTGTCGTATACTATTTAAGATTATCAGCGATATGAAAGTCACAATAGATTACGTGCGACTGACTATCGCACGAAGAGCACAATATTACCGAATACCCGTCCTACCGCCGACTTGCAAATTCATCTTGCAGTAGCTCAAAAGATCGGTGTATTGCAGTTTGACCAAAAAAATCTAAAAGAAGTAATTCTTACATAGATTTCGTTTTATATTGTTCTTTATTAATAGATTCCACCTGAAATTTGCTCACTATCTGGCTTGCGTACTCTGTCTTTAAATGGTAACAAGATCCAGTTGCTTCCCAATGATTTAAGAAAATTAGTCAATTTGAAGAATCTCTTTCTGAAATATAATCAAATCGGTAAATTGTAGCTTGTCATATTGTATTCTTTTACAAAATATTTGTTTAGAATCTCTACCTTCAATCATTTTTACTCACCATTTGTCAAAATTAGAGATTCTTCAATTGAATGGCAATCTTCTATGTTCCCTACCTGCATCATTTTCCTATTTAACAACGTTAAAACAACTGAATCTTTCAAAAAATAATTTTCTTACAATTCCTCGAGCAATTTTATATTTATCTAATCTACAAGTTCTCGATCTTTCAGCTAATCGTATCCAAGAAATTAACGATGATATCGAATTTTTAGAAGTAGATGAGTTAAATTTAAATAATAATCAAGTAAATGTGTTGTTAGAGCAGTTATATAGATATTTCTTTACTTCATTTCTCTTTCTAGATTTCTCAAATTTCAACGAATATATCAAAATGTAAACGGTTGAAAATTCTTCGATTAGATAATAACAAGCTTAAGTTAGAATCGATTCCTACTTCATTATTAAAAAATTCTACTGTTTTTCAACTGAGTGTTAACGGTAATTTTTTTGAAGAAACACAATTTCAATTGATCGAAGGTTATGATGATTATGAAAGACGGTATACGACAAATCAACGAAAAAGAGATGCAACTGCAATACTTCTGTTGAATTAACAGCTAACTCTAAAAAAAAAAACAATTTTTTATGATAATATTTTCATTTGAGATTATAAGAGATAATTATCTTACTTATTATTCTTTTCTGAATAGAAATCAGGGGGTATGACTCCATCTCGATATTCATACTCAAACTGCTACGCACATTTATCCCACACCTACACACTCAAGATATGATAGAATTTGTCTCATTATTATTACTACTTCACGCTGCATTCCTAAAGTGTGAATGAGTTTCGTCTCTCGTTCAAAGATTCTCATTAGGCGACTCGGAATATCTGCATCAATATTTCAAAGTGTTCAATTGGGTACCGAATAAATTCTGTTCAATTAAATCCAACATTCAATTTTTCAATTGACAAAGTGAAATATGTGATCTGGAGAAGAAATATTTTCTTTCCTTTATCCTAATGAAAAAAGAAACTCGCTTGGTGCACTTTATAACCATTAGCGAGAGAAAGTAGAAGAGAATATTCACTTCTTAATGAAAGATATCAATAATTTCATAAGAATTTCAAGAGAGAAAAAGTCTTGTATTATTAATGGACTTTCCTGAAAAAAAATACTTTTTTTAAGTTACTAATCAATCAAGAAAATATTTTCTTTAGAGGAAATAATCAGAAGAAATTTACTTAATCTTTGGTTTTTTGTCACTGATGACGACAATCGAGGGAAAATATAATTTGAAATGTTTTTGTTTTTGCTTATACTTAAAATGCAAATTGAAATGCGACGTTGTTTTTCAACGGTTGAACTGAGATTGTTTTATGTGTTTACATAAATTAAATTCATTTTTTTTTTAAATTTTATGGAAAGTTCAACAGTTTAGTTAGAGAAGAGAAGATGCCAGTTTGTCAAGGTATTGGTAATTTATTAAATCGTATGAAGAAATCAATCGTTGAATTGAATATTTTTCATTCGAACACATCTTCGGTTATAGATGAAAATGAGATTAGAACAGAATTAATATCTACACGTATTTTTCTTTTGTTTCTTGTTGTTTCTCTTGGGATTCTAACAGGATATATATCTGAAATTCAGGTAGAAAAAACAGTTGAAATATCGTATCCAAATTATGATCAATATTTGAAATTGTATAAACAATATTCAACAATTATTTCTTGTCCATGTACAACAGTTTCATTTCCATATGAACAATTTTTAAACGTAAAAGTAACTTATCATCAAATCTATCAAAGTATTTATACAACACAATTTTGGATAAATTTAATAAAATCTTCATCGATTATTCAACAACCTTCACCGACTTTTCGTTATCTTGGTGGACCATTATTTCAA